ATGTAACATAAAAGCCCCCAAATTTTTGTTTATTTATTCAATTTTTTCTATAGTTATAGATATGTGATAATGTATTTATAATGTAATATAATCTCTTTTTTTAATGCATTTATGAATTATTTGTAAATGTATAAATTAGTTAATTTTGTTGAAAGCACGCAATTTTTGTTGAAGGGAGCAAAATAGTTTAGTTTTATTTTAGTTTTGTTTCTTTTCTTTTCTTTTTTTTCAGATTATTTCTGTGGTTATACTGATATATTTAAATGTATTTGTAATATAATATAATATTTTTAAGTTATTAATATTTATAAGTTAATTTTGTTGAATTACTTTGTATAAATCATGTAACATACAAGCCCCCAAATTTTAAGTTTACTTAATCCATTTTTTTCTATAGTTATAGATATAATGTATTTATAATATAATATAATATAATCTCTTTTTTTATGTATTTATGAATTTTTATGTGAATTATAATTTACTTTTTTTGAAACAACACTGTATAGATCCTATATGGTCACAAAATTCAGTTTCTGAATTGTTTATTTTAATTTATTCTGTAGATACACTGAGATACTTTATTTAGAATATAATATTAAATATATAAAAAAATATATTTTATAATATAATACCTATATATGTATATATGACTAATATAAGTAATATTAGTAAACAATGATTCTTTCTCGTATACTTTGTGGCATTAAACAACACTATTTATTCAACATTTAATCTTACAAAATATCTGTGCGTTCGAAGCCAAAGTTCTAATGTTTGTCCAGAAGCATTGTGTCGTCTGTCCTCTGCTGATGATGAGTGACAGCTCCAGGCTTTGAGGTTTAGGTTAAAGATAAAGGTTTCACAAACCTGCTGGTCTTAGAAGTGGGATCAGCGACATTCTCCATCCATTAAAGCACCTCTGCAGCTCTCCGACCTTAAAGAAGTCATTACCATCATAATTAAAATTGTAACATCAATCCTGTGACATGCTCCAAATTGTTTGAACATGATTGTGTGCTAATTAATTGACAGCATTAGCTCAGAGCTGTGGTGCAGCGGTAATGCCCTTGATACACAAAGGCCCCAGTGTTCCCAGGAACATAGTTGAGTCTGTCCTGCTTTATAATCAAAGTCAAAAAATAACAAATTAATTATGCAAATGATCTGTACATTGAGCCTGTGCATCAGATGTCCGTATTCAGATACTTACTGCTTATGTTGGCTAATGTGAAAAATACCACCAGCAGTGGTGTGAAAATTGACAGCCATGTGGCACTTGTGGATGTTCTGAATGTCATATAGAGCTTGGCCTTCAGCTCCGGCATTAGCGAGGTTCACATTCCTCAACCAGCATGTGAGATGCTATCACACACACTCCAAAATCTGCCTTTTCCACCTGTAAAGAGAAAGAGATAAAAACCACAGCCCTCATCATTTACTCTATTTGTAACCGTTTCAGAAAAGACCACACAAGAAAGAGGTAACATGCTCAATTGGTTGTCATCAGGGTACAACATGAGACCTTAAAGGAGCAGTACAGCTTAAAACTACAATTCTGTCATCGTTTATTCAACCAAACCCGTATGATGTGGAATTTTCATTATATATTGAAAGTGTCAAGCTCCAAAAATGACAAAAAAGCACTATAAAAGTCCCATAATAGTAGTCCATATGAACCAAGCACTATATTCCAAGTCATCTGAAGCCATATTATAACTTTGTGTGATAAAATGTATAAGCACTCAAATCTAATTCATGTGCAAATATATTTGCATATGGCACATCAAGAGGTCTTACATCATTTGTTATTGTATGTCTTGTAACTGGTGCTGTTTTAAATATGCACATATTTAAATAGCACGTACACTATCATTCAAAAGTTTGGTTTCAGAGATTTTTTAACACTTTTATTAAAGCAAGGATGCATTCAATTGATCCAAAGTGACCGTAAAGACATTTATAATGTTACAAAAAACATGTTTTTCAAATAAATGCTTTTCTTTTGTAAAGAATCGTGAAAAAAAATCATCATGAATTCCATAAAAATATTAAGCAGCACTACTGTTTTCAACATTTATAATAAATGTTTCTTAAGCAGCAAATCAGCATATTAGAAGGATTTCTGAAGGATCACGTGATGCTGAAGACTGGAGGAATGATGCTGAAAAATCAGCTTTGCATCACAGAAATAAGTTAGAGTGTAAAATATATTAAAATAGAAAAACTCTTTTAAACGGTAATAATATTTTACAATATTACTGTTTTACTGTTATTTTTGACCAAATAAATGCAGCCTTGGCGAGCATAAGAAACTACTTGCAAACATTAAAAACCTTACCGACCCCAAACTTAAGAGATGGATAGAAAGATTATAAGTAAATAACAACTTCAATTATGGTCTGTAATATATACTACTGTTATGGTACTTGTATGCTGCTCATTGTTTGTTATTTTTAGACCTTGGCCCTGGAAGCAGCAAAAGCGCAGCATTAACATACTGCCTAACATCTCTTCGTTTTTTGTGTAAATTACACCTGTAAAAGCCAAAGGTGGTCAATGTTAGCAGACGTACAGGATATCTTTTAATATACTCACTCATCTCTCAAGAATGATTTAGCATTAGGCTCGAGTTCTTTTATTAACAGTAAGCTGAGCTGTGGCGCGGTGCCCATCGCTGGCCGCAGTGTTTGTGCAGCTCAAAGAGTGTGAGTTTATTCAGAGGCTAAATAAAAGCAAATCCCTCTGTGATTTGGCCAACATGTGTTTATATTCTCATCTTGACTATTGAGATTGGATTACCACAGGCCATACACTGAGATTATGTTTGGCAAAACTCTGATGACAGAGCTCTGGTTGCTTATTATAGAATAAATGCTAGCTGGAAGCTGGAATGCTTTAGTTGAGTGCATTCATTAGGACAAATGAAGTAGAGCTAAAGCACGGCAGCATCCAGAAGTTTCATGCTCATTCAGATGGCATGTGCTTCTTCAGATGTTCAAGCCAAGTAGATTTTAAATTCAATTTCCAAAGAAAAAAATAAATGAATCTTTTGATAATTAAGTGTTTGTCAAAACAGCTGGGAAAGTAATCTCATATTTTTATTTGGTATATATATATATATATATATATATATATATATATATATATATACACACACACACACACACACACATATATATATATATATAATATAATCTTTTATATGGATTTTTATATTTATAAAATATATATATTATATGTAATAAATTATTATATAAAATATATTCTATACTATATGTGATCATATGGAAAGAAATGATTAAATATTATATAATATTTCATATGTACAATTATAGAAAATTATATATAATATTTCATATGGAATAAATAATTACATAAATATATTTTTTCTATACAATATTTTCAATATTATATATGTGATCATTGTACTTGTTTATATAGCTACACACACACACTTTTAACATTTTATATGGAAATATTTATATGGAAAAAACAATCATATATTTTATATCATATTTAATATGTAAAAAACTTTTTTTATTTCTATACATTTTATATATGATGTGAATTTTGCGTGTATCATGGTACATGCGTTTTATTTATATTTGATAAAAATATGTTCATTTCTCAATTTAATAATTAGTTTTTGTTATTTAAGATAAATGCAGTAATTATATTTCTTTTCAGCACAACTCAGGGTTGTAAAACATTGTTAATGTGATAAAAACCACAGCCCAACCGATAATAATTTTACCAGGCAAAGCATAACAGTTATCACATGGTCATTTAACTTAACTACTTGATTGATAGAGAACATTAGACTCAAGCTGATTAAAATGCCAGAGGCCTGTTGATCTGCTTTTTAAAGTGTGGGGAGTTGACCTTTCACATGGCTGAAGTCGGCCCCTTCGAAACACTGTGGGCAAAGTGACAACTGGCCGCGGATTCCTCGACACCACTCCAAAAAAGTACACAGGAGTTGCGTTTGAAGTTTTAGGATGATGTGACTGACAGCTTGGCCCCTCACCCCTAATTAGAGCTCGGCAATTTATGAGCTGCTGCTGCGAGATTATGTATCAACATCAGAAATCCTCCAGTCAGTGAGATGATGAGCGCCTTGTGCTGGTCCGGTGCACGCGGCGCGGCTAGAAATAGTCCAGTCATGCTAATATTGGCGCTGAGTTACCGGGCAGGGATATTGTGACAGCTTTGCGTATATGTTTATAGATTTATGACCACATTAGCATTTGTATATCTACTTTATTGTATGTAATATTTTATTTTTCTATGGCTAATAATTAATAATAATACTTACCTACTCTTTCACACTGTAATGTAGTCAGTGTTTTAAGTCAAAAGTCTTTTCATCTGTTTTAAATTGTTGTGATTTCTTGTATTCCAAACGAATATTTTGCACGCCATACTTAATACCACATTGTCATACACTGCTCTTTTTATAATTTTGCTCGTTTATATTGTTTCATGAATTGTTTTGTCTTTCTTAATTTTTTACTTTGAGAAGCTATTTTCATTTTATGCCTGTTACCAGCAGGGCCCATATTGTGTGACAACATGCCCCGCTAAACGTCAAGATCTACACCAAAAAAATATGTTCATACAGAATTTTTTTAACAGAAACTGACGTTCAATAACAAACTGTGACAGCCCTGGTCTCCTCTACACTTGCAATTTTTCTAGACCTATATTATTTGTTTTTTTCTAAATAATTTATTACATTTTTGTTCATATAGCCAAGTGAGGTTAAAAGGCACATTTCATTGTCAACAGTACTGAAAACTGTAGTTGTACATAAGACAAATATAATTAACTCAACTTTGAACTCAAGGGAGACAAACGGGCTACAAATACAACTAAAGTAAACAGAGTTTCAATAGTAATCATTTATAAAATACTCGTACTGTACATAATGTGACTTAATCTGCCACATGAACTGAGTTTTTCATGCACCCCCAAAACTTTAGGACTGCTTTTAAAAAAAGAGGCCTTTGTTTTACCCACTTAAGCAAGAGAAACCCCTGGCCACACATCTCTTGTCCATCATTGCTGTTGTCATAAGCCAATATTAATCTACAGCTGTCCGGTATTCACAGTGAACACAAAGGCTCAAATGGCATGTGATAACATTCACTCTGCTGCTTTCTTCCTCGCTTCCCTTTTCCTTTTCACTGGCTGACTCTATGGCTGAGTGAACAAAACATCACGCACATTAAAAGTAGCCCATGTTTACATTCCTTCTCATGTTGCGAAAATGTATATTGAAATAAATGATTTCATCTCTGATGGCCTCGCTTTTGAGGTTTTGAAGGTTGCTGCGAATTCATAAGAGCCTTTTGTTTCTTTCTTAAGAGCCCAAAGCAAGCATAAAATACATTTCAAGACGGTGTCTGGTATGAAAAGATGCCACTATACTCAAGTTTGCATGATCAATCGCGTTTGCAATTTAACAAGCTTTCCCTAAAACACTTAAAAGCAGCGGAAAAAGTGTGTACCGCCTGGTTTTATTTCCATTTTTGTTTCGTAGGATGAAGATAGACAGCTGGTAAAAACAGACAACACCTCCTTCTCCTCAATGCACTGGAAAAATACTTTCAAAGGTAATATATTACATACATTCAAATACATCATGGTGAGACGTCACCCTAGGCAGACGGTGACTGTAAGTGGTTGTTTAAAATGTACAAATGAAAGAATCGATATTTCTGTCATGCTGGTTGCTCCTACTTGTAGCACTGGACACACTAAGACACATAAAGTATATACAGTACAGCTTAATGGTGTTTGTATCTACTTCCAGTTGAACCCACACCACTCCTCACAAAAAAATGAAAAGCCAAACCAGTTGTTCCCTTTCGCCGTGTGTCCAGATACAACAAAACGCCTGTTTAATGAAATCCAGGGTGCTCGCTCGGTCAAACGGCGCACAGTGCCATTGTGTGTGTGTCTGCTAAGTTCCACAACAGTTGTCGGTGACAGGTGCTGAAAGCAATATAGATAGAGTCAAGTGGCTTCAAATAGCCGCTCTCTGTCTTCAGCGATGATAGGGAATGCAGCTCTCGCGTTGGAAACTCTCATTTCTGGTCTTTTCATATAGCCGGTCCATTCGGCTCTCAAATGTCCCCTTAAAGTAACGTTTGTCCTTTTTCAAAGCTCATTTTGGGTCCGTTTTGCTGAGGGTCAGGGGAGGGAAGGGGCGAGAGCAGCTGCTAGTCACACCACTACAGTATGTTTGCTTCTCTTTACTGTCTTTTCTCAATCGAGAGAGAGAGAGAGAGAGAGTTTTGCATTCATCTGAAGGGTTCAGCTTAGGATGGTCCCGCCGCAGAGGGTGTAGCGCCGAGCTGCAAGTGAGATGAGAATCTGTTACAGAAAAGCCAGAGAAAGACAAGCCAGCGGAGAAAGAAGCGGCCGCAGGGCACTAAAACCAGTACAAGTCCTTGCTTTTATCCTGGCTCTGTAGACCTGAGAGGAAGAAGGAAAAGGAAGAAAAGGGTAAAGAAATGAGGAGAGGGAAAATAAGCAGCAAATATAGAGAAGTGAGAAGACTTGAGGCAAAGAAAGCATTAAAGCCTTAAGAGTGAGAGTGAAGAGTGAGGAACGGATATGTCAGCAGAGCAAACTCAAAGTCAAAAAGCTTGAAGATAACTAGATTTAAAACTCACAATATGTACTTCAACAAGCTCTTAAGACGTGATTATTTTTACATTATGTTTGAATTTTTTGAGCTGACTTTTTATGCTGCGATTTTAACCCACGGTGGCCCAAAAATGTATTTAGACGCTTTAAGTCACACTTAGGAAATCGAAAATGTCATTGCATTGTATAACAAAGTATTAAACTGGCATTTGCAGACAAACCATACTAGAGCTTTTATCTGAAATAATTTAGATTTTCTTCACAATTATCTGCACTCAAACTGATGTCCAGGTGATTTTAGTGGATAATATTCGCACAGGCACCCTGACAAAGTAACCACAGGTTTAGTTCATCACATTAACTACACTACTGTTCAAATGTTTGGGGTCAGTAAGATTTTTTTTAACGAAATTAATACAGAAAGGATGCATGCAATTGATCGAAAATGACAGAAAAGACATTTATAATGTTAAAAAAGATTTATATTTTTAAATAAATGCTTTTCATTCAAACGTTCTATTCACCAAATAATCCTGAAAAAAATATATCACAGTCTCCACAAAACTATTACGCAGCAAATCAGCATATTAGAATGATTTCTGAAGGATCATGTGACACTGAAGACTGGAGTAATGATGATGAAAATTCAGCTTTGCATCACAGGAATAAATTACATTTTCAAAATGCATTAAAACAGAAAAGGTTATTTTAAATTATAATAATATTTTCCAATTTTTCAAAAACTTTTGAACGGTGTGTTCCACTAACATCTGACAACCAGAAAGTGTCACAAAATGTTGTCTTATTCATTATTTAAAGCCAAACCTTCTTTTTAGTGACATGTGTTCTTTTCTTTAAAATAAAAGCTTTTTGGTTTGATATTTTGTTTTAAAATGCAATGACATCCATACGTTTTTAAGTGTAGCTCATGTGAATGAACTTTGCGATGTTGCTGTATGTAGACTGCATGCCGTTCACACCTGTATCCATGTTCAGGCTCATATCAGAGCTCGCTGCTGTGAAAGCTCCGGTCCACGCCGAGCTGCCCGACTCACTCTTGCTGATATCGCACGGCGAGGCTCCAGGTGCGGGAACCGTGGCTGGAGGAAGTCTATGTGGCCGCACCGAGGGCACGAGTAGAGAGCTGTAACGGGGGTCAAAGTGCGTTCCATACATGTCGTGCATGGAGGGCCGGGGGTAAGCCGACCCCTGGGTGCCGATGGCTCCGCTGAGCGAGTAAGGGTGATGGTGGTGAGAGGGGTGCCAGGGCTCTGGGGTGGCTTGGTGAAGGTGGCTGTGTAGAGACGCGGTGGAGTACGGGTCCGCCGGGAAGGGAAGATCTGTGTGGGAGGAACCCAGGGCGCTGCTGAGAGATGCCGTCACTGACGGCTGATACGCGCTGTTCCAGAACGAGGGAGGGAAGCTTCTCTGGCTCATAGGGAATGATCCGTCTGGGGAGGGAATCATTTATGTAAATGTTCTACATGTTAATGTGCAAACAGTTTGAGCCTTTGAATATTTAGTTTGAGATTAAAAATGAATGCCCACACATTTGGATTTACAAAACAAAAATGCAACTTATTGTAAAATGTAATTATCTGCATTTCATAATTTAACTAATTAGCTTTTAAAAAATCTACTGATCTTGAAACAATGCAAAAAAAAAATAATAAAATAAAGTAAAATTGTGCCTGTTGTCATGCCTAATATCTGTGCATTCATAACTGATTGTAAAAATGATGTCCTAATTATCTGTATATCCTAATTAGATGGATTTGCATTCGTTTTTAAAAATCTATCTATCGATCTTGAAACATTGCAAAAAAATTCAAATGGTGTCCGTTGTCATGACTACTAGCTATGCAGTCCTACTTGATTGTAAAAAATGATGTCCTATGTACTGTATATCCTTATTTAAAAATCTATCTATTGATCTTGAAAAAATAATAATACAATTATGACCATTGTCATGACTAATATTATCATCATAAAGGATGCAAGGAAAAGATATTGTCTTATAATTGTCTTAATTGTCTGTATATCTTAATTGAATTTGTATTAGCTTTTAAAAATCTATCTATCTATCTATCTATCTATCTATCTATCTATCATAAAAAAGGAAATGCATGCCCATTGTCATTACCAAAAGCTGTGTAATCAAAAAGGATGTAAGTAAAACATATATTAATTACAGTGTAAATTAAAATGTAGGTTGCATCAGATTCCCACCTCTCCAGGACGATGTACCTCTTGCGGTCTTGCTGTTGGTGGATCCAGGGGCACAACTACTGGACTGACTCAAAGCCCGACTGAAATGTTCATCTACCACCGAACTGATGTCCCCTTGGAAATAAGTGAATAGCACACATCTGGAGCTGATGTACTCATGGTGGTGAGAGGGGTGCCAGGGCTCTGGGGTGGCTTGGTGAAGGTGGCTGTGTAGAGACGCGGTGGAGTACGGGTCCGCCGGGAAGGGAAGATCTGTGTGGGAGGAACCCAGGGCGCTGCTGAGAGATGCCGTCACTGACGGCTGATACGCGCTGTTCCAGAACGAGGGAGGGAAGCTTCTCTGGCTCATAGGGAATGATCCGTCTGGGGAGGGAATCATTTATGTAAATGTTCTACATGTTAATGTGCAAACAGTTTGAGCCTTTGAATATTTAGTTTGAGATTAAAAATGAATGCCCACACATTTGGATTTACAAAACAAAAATGCAACTTATTGTAAAATGTAATTATCTGCATTTCATAATTTAACTAATTAGCTTTTAAAAAATCTACTGATCTTGAAACAATGCAAAAAAAAAATAATAAAATAAAGTAAAATTGTGCCTGTTGTCATGCCTAATATCTGTGCATTCATAACTGATTGTAAAAATGATGTCCTAATTATCTGTATATCCTAATTAGATGGATTTGCATTCGTTTTTAAAAATCTATCTATCGATCTTGAAACATTGCAAAAAAATTCAAATGGTGTCCGTTGTCATGACTACTAGCTATGCAGTCCTACTTGATTGTAAAAAATGATGTCCTATGTACTGTATATCCTTATTTAAAAATCTATCTATTGATCTTGAAAAAATAATAATACAATTATGACCATTGTCATGACTAATATTATCATCATAAAGGATGCAAGGAAAAGATATTGTCTTATAATTGTCTTAATTGTCTGTATATCTTAATTGAATTTGTATTAGCTTTTAAAAATCTATCTATCTATCTATCTATCTATCTATCTATCTATCTATCATAAAAAAGGAAATGCATGCCCATTGTCATTACCAAAAGCTGTGTAATCAAAAAGGATGTAAGTAAAACATATATTAATTACAGTGTAAATTAAAATGTAGGTTGCATCAGATTCCCACCTCTCCAGGACGATGTACCTCTTGCGGTCTTGCTGTTGGTGGATCCAGGGGCACAACTACTGGACTGACTCAAAGCCCGACTGAAATGTTCATCTACCACCGAACTGATGTCCCCTTGGAAATAAGTGAATAGCACACATCTGGAGCTGATGTACTCAGCCTCCGGCGGGTGATCTTTCTCCCGGGCGCAGCCCTCCTCTTTTATGGGTGGCCCGGAGAGGTTGGAAAAAGAAGAGCTGCTTCCGCTCAGTGTTTCTGGGGATTCTTGCATTTTGGAGTAAAATGCCAATTTCTGAAAGCATGTAAAAATGGCCAAATCAATTTACATTCAACTCTGATATTTGCACTCACAAACACATCAGTGAGTTTGGTATTGCACAATTTGTGTTCCTGCAATGTTTCTAAACTTCTGTTCAAACACTAGCACATATACAAAGCTGCTATATATACATCGAAACATAAAAGAAAGAAATATAGGCCTACTCTCCATAAAGCATTACACATGCCAATAGTTTTTATGCCTATTCTGCATTCATGATAACAATACGATATCTGTAAAATACAGACATTTTTCATCTTTTTGACTTCTTCAGATTTTCTTTAAATTAATAAAGTTACATTTTTCTCATGACCATCTAAATATGTGACTTCTTTTAAAACTGTTAAACTATTTGGTCACGATCACATGCGCAACAAGTCGAGCAGAGAAAGAAAGTTTCGCGCACGAATTCAAACAAAACCAGAACTGCTTTAAAATAAAATTAAAATACATTTTAATACAATAGAAGCATAATACAGTTAACGTATACATGAACAAACCTGATGGTGATATGGTGTGTATGCTGCGGCAAAATAAGGTTGAGGTGGACCATACACTTGATACATGACATCCAAGCAGCTCATGGCGAAGACAGCTGTTATATCACGTATAAAACCTTATTAGCGGAATGAGAGGACGCTTCATTTGAAATAAAGCGCTGGCTCAGCGTGTACAGACAGAAAATGAAGCTCCGCGTCGAGTCCGACTGAAGCGCACTGAGCAGCTTTTCTGTTCTGTACTCTGTCTTTACGCACGAGTCTGATTCACTTGAGAGATTCGGTTCATTCAAATGATGAGTGGTTCAGTGAGTCGATTCATTTGAATCATCACTCAAAGTGTTCCCAGAAGTCCTCGTGCGCTGTATGGTATTGCTTGCAGTCAAATAAAAAGTGTAGTCTACGTGTTGGAAAATCTTCAAACAAGATAATTGCACAACAATATAATCTTATAGCGTTAGCTGGTTTCTAGCTGGCAGTTTACTCGTTTTAGATGCCTTCAAGTTTCATGCTGTCATCTCAACTGAGACCAGTTAGCCTGTATGCTCTGTTGTATGTAGTCTGGTTTGGTATTTTGTGGGGGAAAGTCAAATATTGCGTTGTGTTTCTAAGATATTTCGTTCCTCGTTGTGTTTACTATGAACGTTGAAGTTCGCGTGATTAGAAGCACTGCAAATCGGTGCACGAATCGCAAAAATGAATCTGTTCAAATAAACGACTCCTCCGTGAATCGAACCTCCAGACCAGAGACCAATAACTCCTTATGAATCGTTCCGTTCTGGTATTACAAATAAAAATATATTTTTGTTTTTATTTTAGATTTGAGTGCATGTTCATATATTTAATAACACTAGTGACCACAATATATATCTACGTAATAACATTTTCTTGTCTCATCTGTCTCATGCATGAAGTTAGCCAAGCTTTAAAAAAGGACAATTCCAAAAGCTTTCAAGTCATTTGAATAAAAAGCTGAATAGAACTAAACAGATACATTATTGCTAAATAAACGTGCTGCCATCTGTCTATTTAAAATGCCATGGTTTTCTGTGCCCAGTTGCCCTGGGCTCATTAGATTTCCAGGTCGAAGGCCAAATAGTTTTCATGCAACTGGTGCTGGGGTCAAGGGGCATTTTTCTGTCATTAGGACCCTTAAAATCAACAATATGCTGCAACTAAGAAAACACTGATACAGTGGAATCAATGCTGCTGCTGTTGCTGTAGTGTCCAATACACTTCAGATGAGCAGCTGAAGTGGTGTCTAAAGCTCATCATGATTTTACTGGGAATTTCACAGGAATGTTTGGTATTCTGTCACGTATAACCCACTTCATGGAGGCTTTCACATATTAAGCTAATCTAGCGCTGTCCAGAGTGCTGGAGGTGAAATATTCTGGTTATTTCTCAACAAACACTAATAGCAGTATCTGAGGTGTAAAGGGATCCGCACAGTTGTAACTTTTGAATTCACTGTAGTTGGATTTTCTCAGGATTTGTACATTCTTGTAGACATTCCCATGTATTTTAAGGGCCCAAACAATGAGACAAATGGTTTTATTAAACAACAAAACACTTACCAAGCACAACCAAGAATGAAATCCTTGATTCTTTGATATGGGAAAAAAATATTTTTGTGCTGGAAGAGTTAGGAGAGGATGTTCATTCATTCATTTTATATATATATATACATATATATATATGAATAAATAGCCTTAATTTGAATCAAAATACAATTTTATATTTTCCAGAAAGCCATTAAAATACAGCAACACAGCAAAAATCTTGAAAACAAACACTGAATATGTTTTCATACAATCAGAAAATATGGTGTGAAAAAAAGGTTTTAATAAGTAAGAAATAATTATATATTTTTTTTATTTATAATTTGAAATAAATAATATAATAATAAATAATAATACATTTTTGTTCATAAAATAATTTTTCATAAAATATATTTAGCTATAAATTCTAGAAATATAAATGATATTGCATGGAGAATATGGCAATAAATATGGCAATAAAAAGATACTAATTGCTTCTAATTCAACTCAAATTCACTGTTCACGCTTCAAGTTTAGCGCTTTCACACCTGTTCACAGATCGAGTTACAGCATGCAATAACTCTCCATTTCTGAGGTGACAGCTCTCAAACAATGGGGGTTTTAGACTGAGTAACCTGACAAGGTTTCTATTTCTACCCAAATAGCTTAAGGACAAGGAAATGTTGAGTGCTAACACCCAGCTAATAGGACCTAACCTGCTGAAACAACAGTGGATTCAACACATCTAATGAATCAGAGAAGATCAGGGCACATCACTTACAGCTTTAACCGGCCTGCAGTTTTCAACATAGGCTCTTTCCTCTAACATCTGAGAATAAAAGAGTCTCCTGGCTTTGTGCCTCTGCTGACAGAGGGGACCCTTGGCCCCCAGTCATGCATTTGCAGGTAATCTGCCTGGGTCCGTCCAAAACGAGGGAGAAGGGGGGTAGGAGATGAGAGAAAGAGAGTGCAAAAACATTGTCAAGGCAAGTTGAAGAGAGAATGGAATGTAAACATGTACTTGAGTAAAGGATGTAGAAATGTTTCGACCAAATGGTGACACACAGTGATTTTATGGGGAGCCCACATGGTGTTGCACTCTATAAGCAGATTTATTAATGCCTGAAGCAAAAATGTTTAAGAAAAGTCATTCGGAATAATATGAGGGTGAGTAAATGATAGAATTTTGGACTTTTCAAAAGAAAAAGTGTAGTCAAGAAGTGATTTTAGTTGGACTGTGATCAGGGGAACAGTTGAGCTCCGTGTGCTGCTGATGAGGCAACAGAAGCCCTGGTGAATTGTGGGTCTGTGGCATGGAAGTGAACCACTGCATTCAACATGACCACGGCAACTGTTGAGAGAAGAGGAGGGTCTGCTGTGCAACACGAAACAGAGAGTGTCTGTTTTAGGAGAGCTGGATTGGCACCTGTCCCGGCCGCAGAGACAGCACAACGTATGGACAAACCATTTCAGGCCACTGAGGGTCTGTAGATCCTACAGGGAGACCACCACAGAACTTGTTGTTTTACTGTTTAATAGTTGTTGTGGGGGCAAAGGTCAGATTTTGGAAATCCAGTTGATATTAAGACCTTCCAACATGTTCTTAATAGCATTGTTTGTTTAAATATTACATCTAAACCATTTGTGACCCTGGAGCACAAAACCAGTCTTAAGTCGCTGGGGTATATTTGTAGCAATAGCCAAAAATACATTGTATGGGTCAAAAATATTGATTTTTCTTCTATGCCAAAAATCATTTGAATATTAAGTAAAGATCATGTTCCATGAAGATATTTTGCAAATTTCCTACCGTAAATATATCAAAAAAAAATTTGTTTCGTAATATGCATTGCTAAGGACTTCATTTGGACAACTTTAAAGGAGATTTTCTCAATATTTAGATTTTTTGCACACTCAGATTCCAGATTTTCAAATAGTTGTATCTCGGCCAAATATTGTGCTATCATAACAAACCATACATCAATGGAAAGCTTATTTATTCAGCTTTCAGCTGGTGTATAAATCTCAATTTCGAAAAATTGACACTTTTATGGTCCAAGGTCACATTTATATTATATTATATTATATTATATTATGAATAGAATATATGAAATGTAATGAAAATATATTAGTTTGAATCAAAATGCCAGTAGGCTACTTCCGTTTTGAGTCATGACACATTCGGATCGGTGAATTAGAGGTCATGGTCATGGTCAGTTTGAAGCGATTCAAGAAATGGATCGAATTTGCAAATTAAAGGGTTAGTTCACCCAAAAATGAAAATTAGCCCATAAATGACTCACCCCCGAGGCATCCTAGGTGTATATGACTTTCTTCTTTCAGACGAATCCAGTCGGAGTTATATAAAAAATTGTCTTTGATCTTTCAAGCTGTTTCATGGCACTCAGCGGGTGTTGCATGCTTCAGTCCAAAACAAGTTAAATAAAAATCGCCCATCCATAAAAAAAAGTGTCTCACACGGCTCCGGGGGGGGGGTGAACAAAGGCCTCCTGTAGCGAATCGATGCGTTTTTGTAAGAAAAATATCCATACTCAAAACGTAATAATCACTTTAATATAGCTTGCGCTCACTGTTTTGTAAACAGAAGCAGGTCCGGGGGAATGACGTATGAGGTCAGCTATGTGCATGCACCACTCAGAAGTGACGCATGTGGAAACGCAGCGGAGAGATCAAAACAAAACAACGGTCACTAATTAGAAGTACAAAACGAGGATTTGTAAAGAAGAATGTTGAAGGATTTCGATATAAGCCAAGAGGAGACTGGTTTTCCTTTGCTAAAGTAAGGAAACTTTGCTTCCTTTTCTCCTGTTAACAAACGTTGGTTTTCACGAGACTCACCGGCGCATGCGCAGCGTGTGAACCTCAGAGGTCATCCGCCCAGAACTGCATCCCTTTACAACAGTGAGCGCAAGCTACATTAAAGTGATTATTACGTTTTGAATATGGATATTTTTCTTACAAAAACGCATCGATTCGCTACAGAAGGCCTTTATTCACCCCCCGGAGCCGTGTAAGGCACTTTTTTTTTATGGATGGGCGCTTTTTATTTAACTTGTTTTGGACTGAAGCAATGCAACACCCGCTGAGTGCCATGAAATCGCTTGAAAGATCAAAGACGATTTTTAATATAACTCCGACTGGATTCGTCTGAAAGAAGAAAGTCATATACACCTAGGATGACTTGAGGGTAAGTAATTTATGGGCTAATTTTCATTTTTGGGTGAACTAACCCTTTAAAGCTGTTTGTGTTGAGTCATCTGTATTAGGCTATACTCGATCATGGTTCGCTACACCTGCCTCACGTCCGAATATGCATACTTTCTAAGCGTAGTAACAAACAGCGGTACATGAAACGAGTATTATATCCGAATTCGAAGCTTCCATGAAACAAAGAGAATAAACAAAACCTGACCTGTGGAACTTTGTTATTCTTTGAAGACATGGAAGTTGAGGAGCAGTAGGCCTTACTGTACAAGTGTAAATAACCTGTATTGAAAATATATGGTGTTATACTGCTGGATTTCTATTGATAGGAGACAGATAAATAGATAGACATATAGATGGATATATCCAGGGACAACAGATGCTTTTAGGGTGAATTGTAATCGTGTAACTAGAAGCGCGTGACACACCTGTTGCTGTTTTCG